CGAGTCAGGATGGATTATTACGAGAAATGTTGTTATCAAAATATCGATTACAGATATTTGATTATATATATATATATATATATATATATATATATATATATATATATATATATATATATATATATATATATATATATATATATATATATATATGATGATCGTACGCTGTACATGAAACACTGTGTAGCGATGAAATAAAATTTTAAGATTGATATTTGTTGTTTATGTCTTTTTATATATATATATATATATATATATATATATATATTATATATATACAACCTCGTTCCCAGGGCTTTTCCCTTTTTGTCACTGGGAAGGCGGGAAAAGGCCCTGGCACCGGCCGGTCTTCTATGTATTCTGATTGGTCAATGACAAGTATATTATTATGCAAATAATGCAATCTTGGATTAATTTATTCAAACTCTTCGGGATAAATTTAAAACATTTTCACGCAAGGAGTGTCCATTATTTAATACTTTGTCCGTCTAAGAAATATTTTTGGCAAAATCTGTGGCAAAACGTTTAAATTCGATAAGATTTATACACAATTTGTCAAAGGTTAGTATTACTGTTTGTTTTAAACTGTGAGAGAAGATTAATTGTTTGCTAGAATACACCTCTGAGGTTCTGACCGAGTATTGTAGGGCAAAATTTGCCTTCATTGAATCATTGGCTTCGTATAGCGTTAATGTTTATATTTATAAAACTAAAGTCTGGGTTTATAAACTGAAACATGACCTTTAGTTTTTGATATTCTTCATAGTCGAGTTTAAATTGGCCTATTAAATTTATAGTTAGTTACCACTAGAAATGCGACGATATTTTGTTTAATTAATATGCAACAGTGTTTACAACTTTTGAATAATATGTGATTTGGTTTTGTTTCAGATACTATTACATGTTTCAGTTTACCATAAATTGTGTTAAAAAAGTGATTTGCTCATTTGGCTGATGTTACAGTTTTCTGATCTGTTTTGTTTTGATGATATTAGAACAATTTCAATATGAAAGTGCAGGTGTCTTTAGACATGAGCCATAACTGTATATATATATCAAAATACTGATAAAATCCATTTCCAGCTTGATTGTATTTGCATTGTTGCAGACAAATTGTGCAGTGGTGGGCTTATGTCACATACTCGTATGGAATTCCATGTGCATGCTTGTACTTTGATGCCTCAAAAGATGCTTCGAATGTGTAATAAAGGGCTGTTCACAGGAGTTGGGCTGTCTGGCCTTAAATTGCATTGTTTTTATGATATTTTAAGATTGTATTCATATGGCTGGACCATCTTGTCATTGCCACAATGTTTGATGCTCAAACAGGCTTTAAAATCAGGTTACAATGCATGCTTGAAAATATGCAACAATTTCACTGCTAATAATATTCCAGAAAATCCTGCCTCTTGGGCAGATCTGGACTGATTTGTCAGAGGGGGTTGGAGGTTTTCTACTTGTGATCGTGCAAGGGGAGCTAGCCAAGGGTGCTGGGTCAGCGTCAAACTCATTTGAACAGCTTCTAAGTCCTAATTATATTGATAAATTATGTACACTTTGGGATGGTAATGCAATTTGTAAAATATTCCACATTTTATTTAATAAAATTTAATTATATACATTGTTTTTGTTGTTTATATTAACACTTTGGACAGTGTATATTTACACCTTTGGACCTTGTAAATAAACACCTTTGGAGGGTGTACCCATTCTAAGCCAAAGACGTTTAAGAAAAATTATCAAGGTATTTGCATGATAAAATATATTTAAAACTGCTCTCCATGTACATGTAATGCATGGTTCAATTCTTGCTTTTACCAAGTAAACCCAGGGATTTTCAATGTCCCCCTCCTCCCGTAGAATTCACTTGAAGTGACTGGGGCAAGGTGGCTATAACTATAATTATAAGTAGGTATATAAAAGTCAATTAAAATTTACAAATAGAGCTTTTTGAATATAGACCATTGCAAACATTTTTTTAATTTGTTTAACCCTTTATAGTGGCAATGTGCCATACTTTAGTATATTACTCCGTCTGGTGCCAGACAATTTTACTCAAGGGCAGATTGTAGACTTGTCACAAGTCGACCTCGAACAAAATGTCGGCTCACGCTCGCGTTTCGTTCGAGGTCGACTTGTGGCAAGTCTAGCAGAATGCTGCCACTCAATGAGTTAATATATTCTCAGAACAGTTACCATCAAATTAAATCTATTGTGCTGGCAAAATTGCCTTGGAGGGGGCCTTGATTTGTTGAGTCTTTTTTTTTTGGGGGGGGGAGTGTTGTAAAACACAGAATAGCAACTGGTTTCAGAATAGGAAGAATTGTTGTAATAGAGGCAATATAATTCTAAGACAAATCATCCAAAGGAAGCAATCATTCTAGCTCTTATAGTGTATGTTGCAACAGGGATGGATTTACTGGGGGGTGCACCCCCCTAGCCCTGGCCAGAGGGGGTGCTATTTTTCATGATAAAGCAAAAAATTATTAGAGGCAAAATGAGATGCAGTAATTTGAGTAATAACATGATGAGTGAGCTGTGAACAACAATTACAATTCAAATACAATAGTAAAGCAAGACTTTGCAGTAGTGAAGCAAGTTGATGGGCGGGAGGCACACATGACCGACACAACTCGGCACCAGAGCTGGCAGAGCACCCACCCCCCCACCAGATCATGCTGGATCCATCCCTGTGTTGCAAAATGTATCTTTTTCATAGCCAGGCATTCACATGAATGAAGATTAGAATTGCATCATGTTATATAGTCTTAAATATTTAGGAGGGGTCTCCATTATTAAATTAAGAGATTAATTAAAAAAGGTGTCCCATGACATTTTGACATAAGAATCGCCCACCCACCCTAGGGTATAATGAATGGTCACTTAAAGTACATGCCATTTTCTAACTGGTTGGGCACCTTGCCCCTTTTGTGAAGGAAAATCTATTCCCTACCTTTATGCCCTGGGACAAAATATTCAAATCAACTCTCCACCCTGATAATGTGCAGATGGTAACAACAAGAATTAAAGCAAGCAAGCTTTACTGGAGTACATACTATTATTCGGAAACATCAATTTGCACATGTTAATTTGCCAGTCATGATTTTAAATGTAATATTTCTTATCTCATATAGAATTCTTAAGGTCTTGTTTACATTTTACTGGAAGCAAACTAAGATGCATATCCAATATTTGGGTCATATCACTCATATGCTGATTTTGCAGCTTGCCAGCTTCAACAGCATTTGGCTGCAAGGAAAACGTAAACAAGGAAAGGGCACATAGCTCTTCATCTGTGTTTAAAATATCAATGAATAAATATTCCAACCATTGACACTTTATAATATAATGCACCTATCAATGTTAAGCCCCAGAGGGGGAGTCGGGCATAGTTGGGGCATTTGATTTTTTGAGCAAATTTTCAAACAAATGCCCCACCGTCGGGCAATAAATATTGGTCAAATACCCCACCATTTTGCAATAAATTGCAATAAATACTAAATTAATAAAAGTCATTCGGTTAAAAATGCCCCAACTTGGGGCAAAAATGGTAATCAAAATCCCCAGGGTGGGGTTGCAATTGATGATCAAATACCCCACATATGCCCGGAACCCCCCCCCCTCTGGGGGTTAACATTGATAGGTGCGTAAGTGACATTCAACAATAGATCAATAACATATACAGTACATTTCCTTGAATCACTGTATAAAATATTCCTCATAAACTCGCTCCAATCGTCGCACAGCAGGGTCTTTGGAAGGGTAAAACCAAGTTTAACATCCCCAGTTCAAAACACTTTCCGTGTCCTCTTATAAAGCAAGCCTGTCCAGCTGGAGAACATCTGTCGTAAAACTATAATAATTTTGGCTGTTAATTTTGTTTAGCGAACGAACGATATTTACCAAACCCAACTGGAAGAACAGCAACTACATAGTTCCCATGTAATAAAAGTAAGAATTTGATTTCGAGTACGTCGGTAGCAAAAAGAAGGAAAAATTTCAAAGACTAAACGCATTTTTAAGCCGCTCTAAGCACTTAAATTTTGTGGTCACTCTTACGTTGGCGGCCATCTTGGATTTTCTAATCATTATTATTATAATTTATTACACCCACTATATCTGTGTGTTGAAAGTCATGTGACCGGCCGGTGCCAGGGCCTTTTCCCGCCTTCCCAATGACAAAAAGGGAAAAGCCCTAGAAACGAGGTTGCGATAAACTTTCACTTAAAACCCTGTCTTGACATGAATCGACGGCAACGTGAATATTTGACTGCTCTGGAAAATCACTCGTTGTCTCTAAATAATCCCATTAAATCGCCGTTTCGGGTGACGATAACGTTATCAGCTCCTTATTCAAAGTTCCCTGTGTATATACAATGTTAAAAAGCAGGATTATTCGTTAGAGTTGCTCAGAGTTGCTCAGAGTCAGACGTGTAATATATCGCTCCACATTATTCTTAAATTTTTTTGAGTTATTTGCTGGAATACTCTGTGGCAAGTATTGTAATCGAAATGCAAGAACTACGGCTTTGCTGGACGGGTGATTTGGAGAAATTGAAGCTTTTTGTAAGCAAGAATGTTGATTTTGTCGGCGAATGGACTTCACCAGGCAATGATAAAAAAAAAATACAGTGATGGTTATAGCTCAATATCCTGGCGCAAATCCAAGAAAGTGTTGGAAATAGAAGGCAGAGACAGGAACCTCATAACAGCTAAGTTGTGTACAATGTTATGTAATGATTTCGATCCTGTACAGTCAAGCAAAAGCGACAACTATTGCGGATTCCCTTCCACAAGCAATGAAATGCTTGTTGAATTGGAGGGCGTTAAACTCGATGTAACAATTACTGAGAAAGATATTCGTGATAACAAACATAGCATTAAAAACGTGGAAGATTGCCTTGATAAAGTAGTTGATAAATTAAACATTATTAACCAACAGTTTGATGTATTTAGGGCAGAGTTTCAGTTGTTGAAAAACCAACATACGATTCAATATTCGCCTAAAGCTGTCGAATATTCAAATTTGGACAATCAAAACGCCTCCGGATTGCAAAAACGTCATGAGGAAAACAATAACATAATAGGATCGAATCTAAATGATGACATTGTAATGAGTCGTAATGATGCATTACAATCTCTGGCAAATTTGCGGTCTGAGTGCCTTTCCAATGTTTGTTATGATACTCAATTAAAGCGTCTTGAAAGGGAACTGCATGATGAACAAGATAAAACCAAGCGGGTTTTCCTGCTTGATACTTGGTGTCGTTTACCATCCACCTAATGCTAATGATGATGAAATGCTCCAATTTCTCTCCACATCACTGATTACTATTGAAAGCACCTATCCTGGCTGTGGGTTTATTCTTGCAGGCGACTTTAATCGGTTAAAATGCAATCGGATATTAACACAGTTCAGTTGCAAACAGATTGTTAACGTTTCCACAAGGGCCAACCAGACTTTGGATCTAATAATAACCAACTTACATTCGTTTTATAATAAGAACTCTGTCGAAAAATTTCCGCCATTTGGTCTTTCAGATCATAATGTTGTGATTGTCAATCCTTGCAAAAGAGAACCCAAGTCATGCAGTAGAAGAATTATCTCTAGGAGAGATTTACGATCTAGTAAAAGGCATGAGCTTGGAAGATACCTTACATCTATCGATTGGTCCTCTCTGAATCATTTTGGCACATGCGAAATGAAACTCCAGTATTTCGAAGAGTTAGTACGTCTCGGTATTAGCACCATTATGCCAATAAAGAAAACGGCTTTGCATGTACACGACCCTCCATGGATTACTGCAGAATTTAAAGAGCTTATAAGGAAGCGTCAAGCTGCCTTCTGCAGTGGAAATACCTTTCAGTTCAAGTATTATCGGAATCGGGTTAACCGCGAGCGAAAGACATGCCGGGCGAAATTCTACTCTTCAAAAGTAAAGAATCTTAAATCGACAAAACCGAAGAGATGGTGGAAGGAGGTGAAGCAGATTGCTGGTATGGTACCTACAACCGGCTCCGATGACCTATGTAGTCAACTTCATTTAGACGATATCGAGAATATGCAACGTCCTGACATTGCGAATTTAATTAATAACGCCTTTTTGGAGCCCATGAACTCCTTCAATCCACTGTCAACCCTTCCCCCCTTTGATAATTATTCCTCTTTTCAAGTGAACGAATTGGAAGTCTTTCATTTACTGAAAGCAATTAATCGTGGAAAGGCGTCAGGTCCTGACGAAATTCCCAATTGGGCTCTTAAGGAATATGCTGAAATCCTTGCACAGCCAGTATGCGCTGTGCTAAACAGCAGCTATGCCGAACAACAACTACCTAAATCTTGGAAGCTTGCCAACATTGTGCCCCTCATAAAAACTAAGCCCGTTAGCGACATTTGTAAGCAGTTACGACCAATTTCACTTACTGCCGCTATTTCGAAAATCGCCGAGGACTGTGTTGTTAAAAAATACATTGCTCCAGCTATCATGAGTATAATCGATCCAAGTAATATGGAGTAATACCAAGAAGTTCAACTACTCTTGCTGTTATATCTATGATCCATGAATGGTCGCAAGCTACTGATGGCACTGGCTCTGCTGTCAGAGTCATCCTGTTCGATTATAGAAAAGCATTCGACCTTATCGATCATGCTTTACTGGCTGATAAAATTTCCAATTTAGCTATTCCACGTGCGGTTGCTCGCTGGACAATCGATTTTTTGATGAATCGAAAGCAGAGAGTGAAATTATCCAATGACTGTTATTCGGAGTGGGGAGATGTACTTTCCGGTATCCCTCAAGGTACAAAATTAGGGCCCTGGCTATTTTGTTTAATGATAAACGATCTTGATATTTGTGATATATCGAGGTGGAAGTTTGTTGATGACACAACAGTTGCTGAAGGAGTTAGTAAGGACACAGAGAGCCGTGTTCAAGTCGCAGTTGATGTTGTGGAAGATTGGTCGAAGGCAAATGGGCTATCTCTTAACGCTGAGAAATGTAAAGAACTGAGAATCGATTTTAAAAAAATTAAACAACCTTTTGATCCTCTACTGGTGGGTGGAGAAGCATTGCCTATAGTTGAGAGTGCAAAAATATTGGGTCTTGTTATGACAGGCACACTTCAGTGGAAAGATAACATCAGAGAGAGTATAAAGAAAGCTAATAAACGCTTCTATTTTATAGTATTATTGAAACGGGCAAGCGTAAATGTCAATGATGTCTTGAACTTTTATTGTACAGTGATCAGGCCTGTGCTCGAGTATTGTGCGCAAGCCTTCCATCATTCCATCCCAGAGTATTTGGCAGACGAACTTGAGACTGTCCAGAAACGTGTGCTAAAAATTTTATCTCCTGAAATGACATATTGTGAGGCCCTTGAGTATTTTAGACTGCCTACTCTATTTCAAAGAAGAGAGGACATGTGTGACAAACTCTTTACGAGTATCATCAAGGATACAATGCATAAACTTCATCATCTGCTGCCCCCGAAGAACGAGACTGATTATTCTTTCAGGACGAATCGGTATTTTAATATGTACGTTACACGCACGAACCGCTTTTATAACTCTTTTATCCCTGCTATGTGTAGGAAGTTTGTAGGATAGATTTTATGCTTATTTTAATCGAATTTTGATCCTGGGTGGGTTTTTATAATATTGTATT